TGCACAAGTTTCTCCTAACTAAAGAGAATTCCTTGAACCTACCTCATGATTTGTCATTTAATGTGTAAGTTAACCAGCTGGGAGACTGTTCAAGACTAGAGGGAGTGCTTGGTGTCTAATAATAATAATAATAATAATAATAATAATAATAATAATAATAATAATAATAATATTAATAATAACAATAACAATAACAATAACAGCAGCAACAACAACAACAGAAACAATAACAAAACTAACGATAACAATAAAAAACAAATAAATAAATAAATAAATAAAAGCACAAATACATGAACTAATAAGTAAAACCAACAATGGTTCAGACAATCATGGCTACCAGTGGTTCTGCCAACTGGTGTGCATTAAGTACGTAATTTACTGAGGATCAAGGTCACGTAGACTGCATTTCTAATTGGTCTTAACTTAACCTAACCTAACCTAACCTAACCTTATTATTGTTTTATTGTTGTTGTTGTTGTTGTTGTTGTTGTTGTTGTTGTTGTTGTTATTATTGTTATTATTGTTATTATTATTATTATTATCATTATTATTATTATTATTATTATTATTATTATTATTATTATTATTATTATTATTATTATTATTATTATTATTATTATTATTATTATTATTATTACCATAACAATCACTCATTACCACCATGTCCACCAGGTGTCGTGAGTCATTAAGGTATTCCCACCACTTAGGATTTAACGACAATATCCAAGTGGTGTACTGACTCACACCACTTTGAGCACCACCACCACCACTACCCTTTAAGAGGCGCCATTAACCCAGGATTTTTGTGTTATTGGCGCAATATTATAAATCCTAAAGCTCTCATTAAAATTACTTGTGAGTGTTTTTGTTCGTCTGTATTTGTTATTTTGTGAAGGATTTAATCATTTATATAGTTTATCTTGGTATGTTTGGTCAGTCGTTTATATAGTGACCGATCGATCTATATAGTGTTCCATTGTGGTGATTAATTAATGTAAACACTAACTTCTGCTTTGAGAATAAGTGAACGAAGGGGAAAAATAGAGCAAATGAAGGGAATAAGTGGAGGAGTTGATGATGGAGAGGTGGTGTAAGTGGTGGTGGTGGTGTAAGTGGTGGTGGTGGTGTAAGTGGTGGTGGTGGTGTAAGTGGTGGTGGTGAGATTGTAAATGGTGTGGTGGTGTGGTGGTGGTGTAAAGTGGTGGTGGTGGTGTAAGTGGTGAGGTAGTGGTGGTGGTGTAAGTGGTGGTGGTGGAGAGGCGGGCCAGGTAACTGAGTGGTGGCTAGCTAGACACCAATCGAAATCCCCCCTCCCTCATCAATACTAAGTGAGGGAGGGAGGGAGGAGGGAGGAGGGAGGTGGGGGTGTAAAGTGGTGGGATCTGGATGGGTGGAGGGGGAGGGTAGAGAAGAGAGAAATTAACCGTGGGAGGAGGAGACAGGGAGGGAGGGAGGGAGGGTAGAAGTGGCCCTATGAGGTGAGAGTGGAAAGGAAGGGACAGGTGTGTGTGTGTGTGTGTGTGTGTGTGTGTGTGTGTGTGTGTGTGTGCGTGTGTGTGTGTGTGGTGAGGAAAGTGCATGTAGAGTGAATGACGCATGTGTGTGAGATAAAAAAGAGAAAATATGAGTGGTGTGACGTGAAGCAAGATGAGTATGTGGTGAAGCAAAGGTGAATATGTAGTAAAACAAGACGGTATGTGGTGAAGTAAGACAGTGCATGAGGCGAGACAAGAAGAAGCTGACGCAATTATGAGTGTATCATGAGGCAAATGCATGAATCAAGGAGCAGCCTGTGTAATTCACTTTCCTCTCAAAAACGCTCAGAAGTCGATCCTCCAAAGTCAGTTATTTCCATTATGGCTTCTTTGGGTATAGAGGTATAGGGTATAAGGTGTAAGGCATAAAAGGTATAAGGCGTAAAGTATAAAGGTGTAGGTATAAGGTATAAGGCGTAAAGAGTATAAGGTGATGTCGTGTGTGATTCTAGTCGCGGGGATCAATATGGAACCACGTTACTAAGGGACATGACGAATGAGCGTAATACACAGAGAGGAGAAAAAGTACACACACACACACACACACACACACTACCACACACACACACACACACACACACACACACACACACACACACACACACACACACACACACACACACACACACCTGTCCAAGAAACCTGAACAAAACAATGCTATCTTACCTGTAACAATATACACCTGAGCCCAGCGTTATAACCTTACACCATAAATGACAATAAATAAATAAATAAATAAATAAATAAATAAATGAATAAATAAATAAATAATATGAATAAATAAAATAACAGATAAATCAAATAAAAACAAAAACAAAATAAAAACTCAGACGCCACAATACCTGAGTTCATGATTCCAAAATTCCTCGTTATTTTTTACTACTTTTTGAGAATGACAGTATTTACATTAACGAAGGTAAATTATCTATGTCATCTTCAGAAAACATACAAGTTAGACCATACAATTAATAAAAAAAATATTAAATAACTTATAAACTTACGTAAAATTTTGGACACTAAATAAACTGAAAACTTACCTGGAATTTCGACAGCCAAATGACAAAGTATTGATGACCTTACCTGGTTACGGCGTGATGACCCTGCCTCTGTGTGACCCTGCTCCTGTGTGACCCTGCCTCTGTGTGACCCTGCCTCTGTGTGACCCTGCCTCTGTGTGACCCTGCCTCTGTCTTGCTGTGGATATATACCGGAACAGGGAGAAAAAACACGTCAATAACAAGAGTTGGAATTAGTGAGGGAAAAAAAGTGTGTTGTGTTAGGGTGAGATGGTGCAGTGTGATGGGGGGGAGGAGGGTGTAGGGTGTAGGGTGGGTTGTAGGGTAGGTTGTAGGGTGGGTTGTAGGATGTGGGGTGGGTTTATAGGGTGTGGGGTGGGTTGTAGGATGTGGGGTGGGTTTGTAGGGTGTGGGGTGGGTTGTAGGATGTGGGGTGGGTTTTGGGTTGTAGGGTGTAGGATAAATTGTAAGCCCAATGCTGTACTTCATAGCCACCCTAAAAACCCCATACCAACACCCATACCACCCACTAAAACCCCCATACCCACTAAAACCCCTACCACCACTAAAAACACCATACCACCCACTAAAACATATACCACCCACTAGAACCACCATACCACCCACTAAAACACCAATACCACCCACTAAAACACCCATACCACCCACTAAAACACCCATACACCCTAAAACACCCATACACACCACTAAAACCCCCATACCACCCACTAAACACCCATACCACCACTAAAACCCCCCATACCACCCACTAAAACACCAATACACCCACTAAAACCCCCATACCACCCACTAAAACCCCCATACCCCACCTACCCACTAAAACACCCATACCACCAATAAAACACCCATACCACCACTAAAACACATACCACCCACTAAAACACCCATACCACCACTAAAACACCCCACCACCACCACTAAAACACCCATACCACCCCATACCGCCCTCATGCCCATATTCTCTCCCCCAGGGCGACGTGGAGCCCAGGGTACAGGATGGGGATGGTAACTCGCCCTGATGTACGCTGCTGCTTTCGGTCACAGAGATATAGTCCTATATGCCGCCTCTTAGACAACTCCACCACATTGCCTTCCAGGGTGAAGTCTGTCTGTCTGTCTGTCTGTCTGTCTATCTGTCTGTCTGTCTGTCTGTCCTGTTTGTCTGTCTGTCTGTCTGCCTACCTGTTTGTCTGTCTGTCTGTCTGTCTGTCTGTCTGTTTGTCTGTCTGTCTGTCTGTCTGTCTGTCTGTCTGTCTGTCTGTCTGCCTGTCTGTCTGTCTGTCGCCTGTCTGTCTGTCTGTCTGTCTGTTTGTCTGTCTGTCTGTCTGTCTGTCTGTCTGTCTGTATGACTATATGCCTGTCTGCCTTTCTGTTCGCGCTCGTGTGTGTGTGTGTGTGTGTGTGTGTGTGTGTGTGTGTGTGTGTGTGTGTGTGTGTGTGTGTGTGTGTGTGTGTGTGTGTGTAAATAATTATACTTTACCACACACGACGCTACACGTGTGAAATATTAACACTTCAATGAATTTAACTGCGTCGCGTGGAGAGGATCGAACGCGTGTACTTGTCTGTGGATCGATACTCCACCCCACTCTGCCTTCTACCCCCACCAATACACTCATTTAGGTGTTCCTTTGAGTACGATAATTTGTTCCCCTGGGTACGATAATTTGTTCCCAGAAGTATAATTTATTCGCTTTAGTACGATAATTTCTTCCTTTGAGTACGATAATTTGTTCCCTTGAGTACAATAATTTGTTCCCTTTAGTACGATAATTTGTTCCCTTGAGTATGATAACTTGTCCCTAAGTCCGATAATAATTTGTTCACTTGAGTACGATAATTAGCTCTCCTGAGTATGATAATTTGCACCCTTGAGTACGATAACTTGTCCCTTGAGAATGATAATAATTGGCTCTCTTGAATACGATAACCTGTTCCCTTGACTACGATAATTACTTACTACATCACCGTAAGATATCAACCAAATTAGCCAATACGTCCCTAGATAGCCAATACCTTCCCTGTGATACAACCCACTCACAAGGGGTAACTAGGTGCTTCTCAGAACTCTTCCTTTGTTGTTTTGGTGTTGAAGATTAAGTTAATTTCTTGGGTAATTTTACACTTCTTGGCGTATCCGTGTTATACAGTGTGTGTGTGTGTGTGTGTGTGTGTGTGTGTGTGTGTGTGTGTGTGTGTGTGTGTGTGTGTGTGTGTGTGTGTGTGTGTAAGGATATTTCCACTAATAAGATGACTTAGATGTGATCTATAATGGCCTCTATTTCACCATTAACCCTGTATGCTAATAAGTGACCTGTACTTGACCTGTAATGACCTGTACCTGACCTATTGTGAACAACAAGTCTAACCCCATATGCTAGTAAGGGACCTGTAATGACCTGTATCTGACCTGTTGTGGTGTCGGCAGGTCAGCGTAACGGGCAGGGACTGACGGCGTGGCAGCTGGCGGAGAGGAACCACCACGAGGACATCGCCGCCCTACTGAAGGTGGAGACCGGCGTGTTCCCCAGACCCTCAGGACCATCCGCCTTCGTCCCCGCCCACCCACTCGACCTAGGCGCACACCCGCCGGACAGGAGTATCAGGTGAGGTTTATGGCGAGCCCCCACCCACCAGTAGTCCCACACCCACCTAGACCTGAAGCCACCCACTTAGAGTCCCACCGCCCACCCACTAGACCTGGGCCACCCACTTGTAGTCCTACACCGCCACCCACTAGACCTGAGGCCACCATAGTAGTCTACACGGCCACCACTAGACCAGACACCACTTAGTAATCCTACACCGCCCACCCACTAGATCCAAGACCACCTATAGCTACTGATCCTACACCGTCCTCACCCACTGGACCTAAACCACCCACCCTCTAATTTTATGCCACCCACTCAGCCGCCCACCCACCATCCACCAATACTCTTATATAATAATAATAATAATAATAATAATAATAATAATAATAATAATAATAATAATAATAATAATAATAATAATAATAATAATAATAATAATAATAATAAATAATAATAATAATAATAATAATAATAATAATAATAATAATAATAATAATAATAATAATAATAATATTAATAATAATAATAATAATAAATAATAATAATAATAATAATAATAATAAACGTGTTAACAAATGAGTAAATTTTTATAGAACATCAAACCTTAATATTTTCTTTCCATCCAACAAACTAATAACACAGTCACCGGTATGAAGGAATGAAGAGTACCCCCTAAAAAATAAACAAATATCCCCAGAATGCTTTCCCGAATAGGATCCCGTATCAGGAAACCCTATTAGCGAGAAGAGACAGAGAGAGAGTACTATCACAGCTATCCTCACTTGTTTAGCTACCACCAACTGACCAGACGTTATATTTATTTTTTCCTCCTCCTCACAGAAACAACGACACTTGGAAAATCTCCCACAGAACGATTTATTTTTCCTCAAAGTTATGTAATGTTGTTGTAAGTTATGGTTTAATAAATGTAAAATACATATGAATAAACCTAAATACATCTAAAACCCTTTCTATTTGTTTTATAATTTTAGACCAAATTTAACGTAATACTATAATAAAATTTGTTTGGGTTTAAATTAAAGAATAATATCCCTTGGTGGTCGAATGAATCTCGTGTATGTGAAGGAAATTCCAGATAAATATTATAGATCGTCCTGGGAAAGAAATGAAGAAAAAACACTTAAATATGGTTCACTGGTTCTCATCCCTCATCCTCATCCCCTTGTGTCTGTCCTGGGTCTGGCTCCTCAAACACTCTCTAGTATTGTATTTTTATCCCGTAACTGATGGTAAGTAAACATATCTTGTGAGGAGACTCTCGGTGTATTTCTGACGTCTGTGTGGATGTAATTTTAGTGTTTGAGTTTGTTGTTTTAAGATGGTCAAGCAGGTAGACAAGACCTTTGAGTACATTATTGTTCCTTCAGTCTTAACCTCAACACTAGACAACAATTTATAAAACTATATATAATCATTTTCTGTATAAGTGTGGTCATTTATATACGTTTTTTTTTTTTACGTCTAAAGTCATGAGAAATTATCCGACTTATACGAAGCTCTTGAGTATCCGACCCTGGAGCCTGTACCGTACTCTTAGGACCCAAGTCCCTTATTCTCTCACTATTGGTCACAGCTACTGGCTTGACCCTCGTTCATATAACACTCCTTCTCAGAGATCTGTATCAGTGGATTAAAAGAATATATTGCCAGTTGCTGCAGTCTATATTGTCACACAGTTACCACAAGTTTCGTTACAACTAAAGTATTCACGTCAGTTTCCACGCTCTCTACATTCATGAAATAATTCGTTACTATCAGGGTGAAGCCCGCAGGCCATCTAGTAATGTGGCTTCATGTGATACATAATACAGGGTGTCACGTACTGAGACAAGTAAGGTGGAATATTTTGTAGTTCCTGTCATTTTCCAACCAGGTGTAACAAATGTGGTTGGCAGCTTCCAGTGTCACTGATTGATTGGTATTTTACAGGTCGTCATTCCGTCGCGCCAAGATCCTGGGTAGGAACACCGCCTCAGTAACAGGCCCCGGGCCCACAGATCCCCTGCCACCTCCTTCACAGATCTACTGCAGCGACTGTCACAGGGAACTAGACCAGGGTAGAAGACGCAGCAGTAGGAGAGAGTGACGGGTCCTTCAGGAGGGAGAAAGGAAGAGTTATCTGTTCCTGTACCAGAGACCAAAACTCTGAGGAAGAGGACACTGTCAGCTGGGAAGGAGGCGACACTGTCAGCAAGAGAGACGTCAACGAGACGAGGAAACTATCCTTGGAGATAAGTGTTAACCATAACGTGAAGAGCGTTATAGGACTGACCCCTGGTCCTGCCAGTCAAGGTGCAACAGGCTTCAAAAGTGCTTCTAGCAACAAAGGAGCGACACGACCGAGCAGTGGTCTTAACAAAGGTGCGACAGGACCGAATAGTGGTCTTATCAAAGGTGCGACACGACCGAATAGTGGTCTTATCAACATAGGTGCGACAGCACTGGGAGGGGAGCACATCAGGAGGGTTACAAAAGTAGCAACCAGCATCTTGACTCTCCAAGACACCTCAAACTCTCCGTCTGCGTCCGTCACCAAGCACACGACTGACGACGACAGCCATAATACTAAGCTTACCAGAACCGAGCGAGGCGGTGCCGTACGGAGCATCATCAGCTGGTCGAGAGACATAGGCAACGGAGAGAGGAGTAGAGGTGAAGTAGGAGAGGCGAGTGAGAGGTCACGAGTGAGGAGCGAGCCTGTGAGAGTGGGAGCGCCGGACGCTGAGGAGAGACGGGTGTTGGAGGAGCTGATGCAAGGTCTCTCTATCTCCGCTAGCCCGGGCTCAGGTGAGGCTCCTACCTACCCTCTGCTGAGTCTCTCACGCCCTAGAGTAAGGCACACACTCCCCCACCCCTAAAACATGCACTCAAGTAAGGCCTGAATGGACTCTACTGAAGCACGCACTACCTTCAAGTGACTGACGCACGTTTGTTGAAGTGAACTGAGACGCATTCATTTATGTGGAGACTTACTAACGTGAGATACAGTACAGCTCACTGACACACACTTATAACAAGATCAATCTTGGTGAGCCAGATTCCCTAACACGAGGGACACATTTCTTAAGTGAACAAGATTCCTTAAAGTGTAAGTGAATTAAAATTCCCTGAAGTGAGACACAAGTTTTCTAAAGTAAGCCCCCAAAAAAAAAACTTTAAAGTGAGTGGTACGTTTCCTTAAGTGAACCAAACTTCTTTAAATCGAATTAACAGTTATTTAAGTAAAACAGATTTCTGAAGTACACGAAACTTAAAAATAAAGTAAACTCAACATACTACTTAAAAGTACTAAAGTAAGAGACGTATGAACTAAAGTAAACCACTAAGAAGTCTTCTAAGTGAACCTGGCATTCTATAAGTGAGACACAGGTACTTAAGTAAATCCTATTATTTCTCAGTGTGACTATATGCATGTATAAGTGATGAACACACATCTCTCAAATGAAGCACTTATTGATGAGAAACACACTAAACCAATTTTTAGTACGGTCAAGACAAAATGATGACACCTTGTCTTCAAAGGGTTGAGTAATCGACCATAAAGGGTTATATATAGTCCTCAAAATATTAACCCTTTGAGGACGATGGTTTAGCCCTTTGAGGACGATGGTTCAACCCTTTGAGGACGACCACACACGCCTCAAAGGGTGTATCTGTGTGGGTGCCTCAACATCCAAACCTTCCAACACCTGCCTGTATACAGTATCTGTCTTCCTCACATAGCCTGTATATCTGTCTCCCTCACATAGCCTGTATATCTGTCTCCCTCACATAGCCTGTATATCTGTCTCCCTCACATAGCCTGTATATCTGTCTCCCTCACATAGCCTGTATATCTGTCTTCCTCACATAACCTGTATATCTGTCTCCCTCACATAACCTTCCTTATATAGCGTGCAGTCCTTCAGGTGTTGGCACAGACCAAGACTAACACACAACTGACTGTTTCAGGTAATGAAGCCGACACAGAGTCCCTGATGGAATACGAGCAGCTGGCAGTGTCAGGAGGTGAGGACAAGGTCGAGGCCAGGATGAGTGGGAACAACGCCAAGAAGATCACCATGTCGGGCGTCACCATCACCGCCGCCCAGCCCATGCCTAAGATTGAGCTCAGCTCCTCTACCCGATCCCTCAACCGCTGCATCCAACACCTGGTACAAGAGGACACCGAGAACCGCCCGGAACACAGGCCGCCTACGCCCGCACGCCCCTCGTTGCCAACACTCCTTCCGGGGCGGCTTTTAGATGTGTCTTTCAACGCCTCCGTCGTCAGCACCAAGAGCGAGGGACGCCATGCTGCTCCATCGCGGAAAGTCACCTTTACGGCCTTCCCTCGGTCATCGTCAGAGCCCAGGTCGCTCACGGTGTCCCCCAGGCCAGATGACGATGACGACGAAATAGAAGAAGAGTCTTCCACAGACCTTCTGGACTCATCCACACGCTCTGAGGGCTGGGACCATCTGAGGGGCACCAGGGGCCGAGGCCCCACCTTCACCTCCACAGAGGGTCATGTGGTGCCTCTACCGCCCATCAACCGCCCCAGATATATTGATGCCTCCCGTGGGCGTGGCTGTGTTCGTGGGCGTAGTGGCATCACTGGATGCGAGGAGAATGTCCTTAACGTGGCCAAGAAGACACTAGAGCAGCTGGAGACCGTGCTGGCGCCCAAAGAGACGGCGGCACTCCCTCGCACCATCCCCCGGAACCGCACCAGCCACCAGATACACTTAGAGACCTAGCACAACACCCGCCCCCGCCCTCCGCCCCACCTAGCGCCTGCACCCACACGTCGCCCGACACGACCCCACAAGTGGACGCGGAAGATCACCCACCATCATCTTTTCCTGGACGAGTGACACACACCGTTACTCGCCAGCTGATGGGACCAGGTGGTAATAACCCGGAGAGTGGCAAAGGACCTCTTACACTATATGTCTCGTATATACAGCAAACAGAAAACTTTGAGTGAATTCCGATGTGCCTCAGTTGACAAGCTGTTAGAGACACAATACACAGTGTACCCGAGGAACATTACCGACGGTCCTTACACGTGCTGCCTACCGCTAGCTCTAGACTACCATATATACCGTACATACAGTAGTTACAGTTTACTGGTATGATAACTATATGAACATTTAATCCATTTTGAAACCGTAATACATATATAAGGACGCGTATACATCATATAAGTGAAAGATACCATTAAGTTATTGTAATCACTCCATATGATGCTGATGTAATGTTCATATTTATTATCCTGGTTAGATTAGGTTATGTATTTACTGTACCAGATGTGTGTTGGTGTCTTAAATGTCGTCACGTCACAATAATATTTCCTGCCAAGATGATGGAACAGTGAAATAAGTCCCTATGTGTCTGGGCAACTCTGTGTTAGATCTCTTATAAAAATCCTTGTGTTTTTTTGTGGTATGGGCAAGGTACTTGGACTCGGAGGGTGACGGAAAAATCAGAAAGAAAATGGAAGAAACTTAGACGAATGTGTAAAAGGAATTAAGAGTCCTGACGGAAACATAAGGACTCCTTAGGACCCCCAGGGGAGTTCTGTGTCCATCTGATTTGAACTGACTCGAGGAGGAATTCTGAAGGAACTTAAACATAGACTTGAGAAAATATGAAGGAATCTAACAAAACCTAGAGACCCGGAAGGAAGCTTGATGTACAGTCCCTCCCTACACTTATCACCCCCCCCCCCCTCAAGATAAGCTTAACGACAAAGCTTAAGTGTATCCGTTTACCCTCATGGCATTTCTCATTCAAGATCTCAAACTACAAGATCATTAACATCCTCAACCCCTCGCGAGAGCCAAAACAAACCCCACCAGCACCCTAGTTATCCCAAGACCCCACCGAGCACTGTACCTAGTCTGAATGCCTTATACCACGCAATCATACAACACAAAACCTACAACTCAATCAATAACAATGCCTTTATGTATGTATGTATGAGTGTATGTATGTATGTATGTATGTATGTACGTATGTATGTATGTATGTATGTATGTATGTATGTATGTATGTATGTATGTATGTATCGCGTATTAATACAAAGTGGAAACTTTTACTACAAATATTTTATACACGATCGTTATGATGATAGAGGCAGACTAGCTCAGTGGAGGGAAGGAGGAGGGGGGAACAGGGGACTTCAACACCGCCTTATTTACGTATTACATTTTCTTATTGTACTGATCTGGGGCTTAACTAGTCAGAGGAACCCATTTAGAAGGAGAAAATTGTCTATGTGTGAATAGGATATAGTAAGTGGCTATGAGTTATTGAGCTCGACACCCTATGGCAATCTCCTATGGCAATCTCCTAGAACCTAAGTAAAATACATAATTGTTTTGCTGGTTCATAATCGCGTATTTATTTACTTTAATTCTCCTATATACCTTCTGTATATTAATATGTAGCGGTGACATAATATATACATATACCAAGCTACATATAAAAATATATAGTCGTTTGGAAGAGGAAGAAGAAATAATATGTTTCTTGGACAATCGGAAGAAGGACTCATAGCATTGGTTGATAGGTTTACTTTAGTAGAGTATTTACAGATGCAGACAATCAATCTATGGACGATACTATATTTATTTAACAGTTGATCACCACTTTTTATTGTATGCGCAACTAATGGAGTGAAGTTCTTACTGTTTGGACAGGGCGAGTAGCTTGGCGAGTAGCAACCAATGGAGTGAGATTCTTTTATACGTTTGGACAGGGCGAGTAGCTTGGCGAGTAGCTTGGCGAGTAGCAACCAATGGAATGAAGTTCTTAATGTTTGGACAGAGCGAGTAACTTAGCGAGTAGCTTGGCGAGTAGCAATCAATGGAGTGAAGTTCTTAATGTTTTGACAGAGCGAGTAGCTTAGCGAGTAGCTTGGCGAGTAGCTTGGCGAGTAGCAATCAATGGAGTGAGGTTCCTATGTACGTTTGAACAAGGCGAGTACCTTAACATATAACTACTGAGTATACGAGAATATTCTAATGCCGTCTAGTAAGAGGTGTTATACCAGCTAGCATATGCTCCTATATACTCCTACATGATATAACATGATGAAGTGAGGAGACCTATCGCTGAAGACGCCCCCTGGACTATGACGTTAAACTGAAGGACGGTAAAGCCTGACGTGGATAATTTTAACATGGATGAGATAATGGCGATGGAAGGTACAATGTTAATCCCCTTTGATTCTTCTGGTCTTTGTTTTCGTTGACGTTGATGTTCTCTAAGTTAATAACAGATGAACGTTCTAATATAGGAGGATTACTTTCACTGGTGTACGTACGTTTTGTCCACCTGATGTACACTCAGAACGTTCTAATATGTAAACGTTCCCTAACTTAACACACCTCTAACGTTCTAACACTGGGGATATTCTAGCAAACGTTCCCCTAACCTAACACACATTAACGTTCTAACACTCTCTAACGTTCTAATACAGGTTATTTTAGCATGTTGATGATCGTTCCACAAACTAACGCAACCTAAACTAACCTAATTCAATTAAACCCAACCAAACTTAAGCTAACACAAGCGGCTAGAGGGCGCACGTCAGCCAGTCTGTGATTGGTTGGGCCACGAGACCTACTGTTGATAAATAAATAGGGATTTAAACCGAGAGCAGATAACGCCAAGCAGAATACTCTAACCTAATCAACCTAGAGCAAGTGTGGTTAAGTAAGGTTTGGTGAGGTTAAGTTAGGTTTAGTGAGGTTAGGTTAGGTTTGGTGAGGTGAGGTTAGGTTAGGTTTGGTGAGGTTAGGTTAGGTTTGGTGAGGTTAGGTTAGGTTTGGTGAGGTTAGGTTAGGTGAGGTGAGGTTAAGTTAGGTGAGGTTAGGTTAGGTTTGGTGAAGTTTGGTTAGGTGAGGTGAGGTTAAGTTAGGTGAGGTGAGGTTAAGTTAGGTGAGGTGAGGTTAGGTTAGGTGAGGTGAGGTTAAGTTAGGTTTGGTGAGGTTAAGTGAGGTGAGGTTGGCTAGGATAGGTTTAAATGGTTCGTGTTTTCCGCTTCTAAATACACACCATCAACGTACATCAAGTAAACACAGTCTGGCGCACAGAACATCACTCGTGCTTCAGGTCTGGTGATAGTAACTCAGTAGGAGGTTAAGTGAGTGAGTCAGCTCTCGTCCTGTGGTGTAAATACTACATACAATACTGGACTGTGATTATTATTACCATATGTGTGTGATAACATGTTTGGATGTGTAATAAAAGGTGTCTAATCAACTAGATACTGTTTCATTTATCATTACATATTATTAATATTTTTTTAAGAAAAATCATGGACCTTCGTGGAGTCAATTTTATGAAGTTGTTTATCTCTCTTTGTCTGTCTGTCTGTTTGTCTGTCTGTCTGTCTGTATATCTGTCTGTCTGTCTGTCTGTCTCTGTCTTCTCTCCACCCATCTATCTATCTATCTATCTATCTAACTATCTATCTATCTATCTATCTATCTATTTATCTATCTATCTAACTATCTATCTATCTATCTATCTATCTATCTATCTATCTATCTATCTCTAATTCCCCCTCCAACGTAAATTAATTTTCAGACTGGAATAATAAAAAAAAAAAAAGTCCCAGAGTGGAATTCAAAATATACATTACACCGAGAGCTTAAATTCGTACTCCAACCCTGAGCCTCAGAGACATCCATGAGTCTTACTTCGAGGATTAGGATTCGAGGCTGGACTTGGAATCCCCACCTAAAATTAGTACTATTCCAGACAGAACTTGGAATTTTGGAATCATCTCACCTTCAAAGAAAAAAAAATAGTAGTAGGAGTATTGCCTTTAATCTGAACTGGAATATTTGAGAGAGAGAGAGAGAGAGAGAGAGAGAGAGAGAGAGAGAGAGAGAGAGAGAGAGAGAGAGGAGAGAGAGAGAGATTTCATTAAAACGCCAAAAAATCCTCAAATATCAATGCTTTTAGGAATATCACACACACACACACACACACACACACACACACACACACACACACACACACACACACACACACACACACACACACACACACCATCATAATCATATTATACTAATTTGTTATCAAATTTAATAAAAAAACTATGCAGACATCAACAATCAAAACTCGGATAATAACAACAACAGCAAACACATTATCAATAGGAGTAATAAATAACAACAACAACAACAACAGCGGACACTAACAATATCAACAACAGCAGCAAACAACAACAACAACAACAACAACAACGGCAGACTCTATCAGTATCAACAACAACAGCAGTAAACAACAACAACAGTAGCAAACATCAACAACAACAGCAGCAAACAACAACAACAATAGCAGCGTCGTCGTCACGCACAAAACTGCTTCAACTCGATAGAAAAAAAAAAGAGTCATTTCAGTGGTGTTTGAGTCCCCACCTTTCTTCTGCCTTATCTCTCAGTGATGCTGAGGACCTCTCTTATGTCTCCACTCCCACAGTCCCCCACTACGGTCACACAGTCCCCCACTACGGTCACACAGTCCCCCACTACGGTCACACAGTCCCCCACTACGGCCACACAGTCCCCCACTACAGTGATGGCGTTGCGAAGAATTTATCTACAGCTTCTCGGTCACTGTCGCCACGGAACAAGATGGCGTCAGAATGTCACTGAGACCATAGTTAATTGAGAAAAACCAAGTGAGTGAGAAAAAACAAAGGTGACGAATAATGGGTCATGCTGTCGGTTGGTGTTGAATAACATAAACAACCATCCCTCACGCTCTAGATAACATCCATCAGTCATGTCAGCAAAGGCGGAAATTGAACTGACAAAACACAATCAACAGACCAATAAATATTTTCTTATACCATCCGGGTGTTTGAGTGTGTGTGTGTGTGTGTGTGTGTGTGTGTGTGTGTGTGTGTGTGTGTGTGTGTGTGTGTGTGTGTGTGTGTGTGTGTGTGTGTCGGTGTGTGTGTGTGTGTGTGTGTGTGTGTGTGTGTGTGTGTGTGTGTGTGTGTGTGTGTGTGTCGGTGTGTGTGTGTGTGTGTGTGTGTGTGTCAAGTGTGTGTGTTTGTATGTGTGTGTGTGTGTGTGTGTGTGTGTGTGTGTGTGTGTGTGTGTGTGTGTCGGTAAGTGTGTGTGTGTGTGTGTGTGTGTGTGTGTGTGTGTGTGTGTGTGTGTCGGTAAGTGTGTGTGTGTGTGTGTGTGTGTGTGTGTGTGTGTGTGTGTGTGTGTGTGTGTGTGTCGGTAAGTGTGTGTGTGTGTGTGTGTGTGTGTGTGTGTGTGTGTGTGTGTGTGTGTGTGTGTGTGTGTGTGTGTGTGTGTGTGTGTGTGTGTGTGTGTGTGTGTGTGTGTGTGTGTGTGTGTGTGTGTGTGTGTGAGAGGAGACTTGGGGGGTATATAGGTACTTCATTTCCTCCTCCCCCTGCCCCCCTTCCTCACCTCTTCCTTTCCCTTCCTCACCTACCCCCACTTCCTCCCACCCCCTTACCTACACCACCTCGGGGAAGCCACACAGGTAACGAGGTGTATGGTCGGAGGTATATATATATGTATGTATGTATGTATGTATGTATGTATGTATGTATGTATGTATGTATGTATGTATGTATGTATGTATGTGTGTGTGTAATGACCTCTTGTTACAACACCCAACCCGATCAGTTGTTAACACGATCATCCCAACTCACACATCAGTTCTATCAAGTGTGTGTATACCATCAGGTTCACTTGTCTGGCCTC